AAAAAGAGGCCCAAGGCAAGAAGCCCTGGCACCAAGGTCTCTTCTAGAGGAGTCCTTGCTCAAGTTTGCAATTTCACCACCAGAAGAGAGCAAGGAAGGATAAAGTGGGGTCTGAGAGTTTTGCCAATGCTTGCAGACATAGGTGCATTAGCTGGCTGACTGATAGGGATCTACTTTCTGTTATCCTCATGTTTCCTGATTCTACCTTTCCAGAGGCAGGCAGCCATTTTATAGTTTGAATTGTGGCTGTCAACTGTGAGAAATCACAAATACATTACACACTTAATGCACAGTTTGGAAAATGTGCAGCATTACAACCCGCAAAATTAAGAACATAAACTTAATACCAGCAATTCATTGTAGCTACATGTTTAATTCCTAGTTGTGTGCATGTGCACGCACACACACACACACACACGCACACACGCACACACGTACACCCACGCACGCACGCACACACACACACACACACACACACACACACACGTGTGTGCGTGCATGAAGAACAGAGGCTTCAGAACCCCTGAAACTTTAGTTACAGGTGTCTGTAAGCCACCTGATGTGAGGGACTCAAGTAAAACAGTCCTGCTCTAAAGCACGAGAGAGTCCACAAAGAATGTCACCTAACACCAACGCCAGGGTGCATGCAGTTCAGTGACTTGAGCTGAACCATCAACATTTTCTAACGAGTCTCCCAGAGTGTGGCTCAGATGTAGGAAACACAGCCAAGCGTCACCATGGATGTTCGGTCCATGGCTGTCTCTGAAGTTCATGTTGGATCACATCATGTGACAGTATCTGGACTTTGGGCATATTGGGGTCCAAGTTATAAGGCTCAAGAATGGAACAGGCTCATTGGTTTCCAGGGAGAGCATAGAAGAGCCACTGTTTAATGATACCGTGAACGACTGGACAAACGAGAGGGGTTGTTATGTTGCCACCAAAGTCTGGCCTCCATGTGTCCCTGCGTGTAAAGTGTAGTTCCCTCTCACCCATCATCCTTCCTCCTGCCCATGTTTATCACAGTTTGCAAAATCAAATAAGTGTTTCTTCTCGACTGTTGAAGAGGGAGATAAGAAAGAGGAACTCGTTTCTTGCTAAGTTCATTATTGCTGGCACACGTCAGCATGTGGGTAGCTCCCATCTGCTGAGCTGCTGCGGTTCCTGCCACACGGTACAAAGTACACCTGAGCGTTTTACAGTTCACTCGTCTGTGCTATAACTCACTAAAGCCAAACAGGACCTTAGAGCGGCAGGTGCCCTTAGCATCCCTCCTTCCCTGGTCAGTTCCGTCCCGGCTTGCTCTCTTTCAGAATCCATGCTAGGGAATTCTGGGTACCCATAAGCACGAACCAGGATTCCCACCCTGCAGTGCCAGTGTTGGAATGCCTTTTTTCTGCGGTGGAAGCTGATGTTTCCATGAAGTCCTTCAATTAGAAGTTCAGTCTGTATAGAAAATTTGACATCTCTCAGTTTAGTCAGAACACCTTCCCCTTAATATAGTATGTGAAGATGTCCTTAAGAACATGTTATATGTTCTGTGAGGTGATATTTTACGTTCCAAAAAAACTCACAAACTTTTCCCAGGAAGTCAAGATTTGATGACTCACTCAAATGAGTCTGAATTTCATTTCTGTTTCTTTGCCATCTCTGTGGCTTCTAGACATCCCTGGTTCATTAAAGAAAGACCAGATGTGTAACCCTTCTCTAAGCTACCATTTTAAAGCTTGATCAGGGTATTTGAATGGCCTATGCTAACTGCTCAGTCTGGGTTAGGTGAGGACCTATTTGAAAGTGAGGCAGAAAATGGCACAATTTGTTTTTATTCATTAAGAATGTGCTCACTTAGATGGACTCTTAAAATTCTGATAAAATTAAATTAAATTAAACCCTTGATAATGCTTTTCATCTCCTAGGATAAGTGCCTGTCCTGCAGTTATTTTAGAATTCCTGGGCTCCAGATCATTCCATATGTATGTGCCATCCACCTGTCTTCTCAGAGAATGCCAGGCTTGCTCCTGAACCTCTGGCTCAGAGTTATGATGCCCTCAACCTCCCTTGCTGCTTCTATGTTGTCCCATGTCAAATTCCACCTTCAGCTCTCTACCTACTGGCTTTAGTGCTGCCCTGTCTTCCTCGTGCCTTGACTTCACTAGCTCCCATTGCCCAGAGAATGAATTTAAGTTTCTTAAAGTGCTCATGCTTCCAAATCTTAGGTTCATCCTCAGAACCTCATCTCAGAGCTGCTCACACAGACTGAAGAAATGGTGATAGGTTCTTAGAAACGTTCCTCTGACCTGATTAGCTCTTCTGGTTTAGTTACTGCCCACCTAGATTCACCACAGGGACCATGGTGTGCTTAGCTTCTATGGATGACTGAGTTTCCATGACTGGGCTCACACGGTGATTCTGGCATGAATGGATGAATGACATTAGTTCAGCCTTTCCATTACTATGCTTACTTTGCGTTAGCAGACACAGATGACCAACGGGTGGCAACACTTGATCTCCTTGCCCCCCTAGTCTCAACTAACCAACCTGGTATATTAATATAGTCACAGGCTAACATTTCTTCCCATGGTTAGGGTACACCCATCCTTCATGGGTCCAGGGACTTAAATCCCCTTTCTGGTAAGATACACACAGTTAAAAGGGCCTTGTGGCAAGCATTCGCCTCCGTTCAGGCACCGAGTGTTTCCACTTCGTGGTCCTGAGTGATGCTTCAAAGGCTTGTGCCTTTCCCGCTACTGGGGTTTTGCCAGAAGCAAAAGCTGAGGGCGTGAGATTATATAAGGCTCTGTGTGCTTTCATAATGATGCTCTGAGCTCAGCATATCAGGACTTGCATCCCTAGTGAACCCTAAACTACTTTGTGCTGTACAGGCATAAAAGAATGAAAGCTCTTAAAGGGCTACGGGACTCTATTGCAAAAGTGCAACTTTAAGGGAACTATTTCAGAGTGATGGTCCTAAAGGAACAAAATCAGTGTATCCGGTGAAATTTAGAACAGAAATATTCATTAACAATAAAAATTTGGAGCAAGTTATTTGTGAAATGGAACAGTAGTCTGGAGGCCTTCTCTGGGATTCCTTTTTGTGGTCATCACATGGATCGTATGGGCCCCTGGAAATGTGCACATTGGAAATTGCAAGTGAGGAAAGTCAGTACCAAAAGCATGTTTTTACGATTCCCACATGTAAAAACAATATTCATAAAGCTGGCTGTTCAGTATCCAGCCAGTGTTCGCTGGATAACAGCTTAAGATGAAACATCTACTCTAATCATTGGTTGAAACCAAACTGATGGCTCTCATGGAGGCTGCATTCTTATGAGAACAGCAAAGGTATTTGAAAGTCAAAGAGATAGGAACCATGAAATATTTGGAAGCAAAATGTTACAGGATATTTTTTCAATAAATAGGTTTACACAAACCAAGCTTTTCCTCTTTCATCTTGCTACTATTTGTTGTTGTTGCTTTAGAAGAGAATATTCTGGTAAATTTACTTAACCAGAATTAATTAAGTGCCCTCCACGCACCGAACACGATACTACCGGGGATACATGAAATCTGAACAAAATTTCCCAACATCCCTACTCTCAAGGAGATTCATTCTGGTGGAGGAGACAAAACACACAATTGAAAACTCAAAAGTTACAGCCATTTATGGCTCATGCCTTTAATCATGGCACTCTAGAGGCAGAACCATGAGGGGTGATGTAGATTCCAGGCCAGTCACATTTACAGAGCATTAGAGGACACCTCAGAGGCAGAGGTGAAGGAAGAAGGCAAGATATGAAATGTTGGGAGAGGCAGAGATTTAGAATGGATGCTCAAGAAAGACTCCTTACACACGTCTATTTTTTTAAAATGGGGCAGGGTGTGAGTGTATTTTTATTTTATGTGTGTGGATGGTTTGCTTGTATGTATACCTGTGTGTCGGATGCCTGAAGTGTATGTGGAAATCCCAGAAGAGGGTGTTGAGTCCTCTGGATCTGGTGTTATGAACAGTTTTGAGCCAACATATGGATGCTGGGAATAGAACCCAGATCCTCAGGAAGAACAGCCAGTGACCTTAATCGCTCAGCCACCTCTACCTCCCCATTGGTGGCTTTGATTAAATTAGCGAAAATGAATGAATGAGGGAACAATGTGATGGTGGAGGACGAGGTCATTCTAGGCGAGCAATCAGTAAGTTCAAAGGCCTATGACCTGGAGTGTCCAAGAGATATCAAGAAAGCTGGGCAGAGTAAGTGAAAGAAAGAGTGATAGAGAGTGAGGTAGATGGGGTGATGGAGGACTAGATCAAACCTACTCTCTCAAGTCGCCATGGCAAGAGGATGTTGAATTCTATTCTGAGAAGATACTGAGGAGTTGTGAGCAAAGGAGAAAGATGGCGGAGTTCACAATAGTTCCTGTTGTCAAGAACACAGTATATACGGGGAGCCTTGTAGGAGGTCATTTCTGTAATCCAGATGTGATGACTCAGAGGGAAGGGCAGAGGTGGGAGGAAGCAGTGCCCCCACAGCATCTCTCTGTCACCTGAGAGACATTCCTCTGAAGCAGTCAACATTATTAACTAATCCACTGTTTACCATTGTTGTAATGTCAGAGAGAACCAGGACATCAGATGCATCGTGGGTGCTTAGTGTCCGTGGGTTAATTGTGAAAACAAAGCAAAAATGGAAGCCATATTTGCTCCATAGCTGTCTGCTTTGACCAAGCTCTCCCACCAGTGCTGTCCTCAGTCATCCGGCCACATACATTTTACTTACTAATTAGCATATTTAAATGTGTTCATGTTCTAAGAGTGCTTCAGATTTCCATGGTGCACCTTAAATTAAAATGGCAGGATAATAACAATTCCACAGAAACATTTTTTTAATCTCATACTTCTATGAAGAAGTAAAAGTATTGTTATTGTGTCTTACTACTCTAAGGCTTACGATTGGTTGTAATTGGAAAATGTTCATTTCTTTCTTTATTTATTTATTTATTTTTAGGGAACAACTTAATTCTTTACTGGAGGCTTATAATGTATTCTATGAAAACCAGAAAAATCTGCATATTTTGTATGGACAGGTAAGCCCATTAAAGAAATGCAACAGCTTGATTCACAGAAAACCAATTCTATAATCATGTAAATGAGTCAGGATTGCTGGAAGCAGGTAAATCTTTAATTTATTCTTATTTTCATGTTTAGACTACATCACTAAATATGAGGGCTGGAATGCCTGCACGTTGCTAAGCATTTTTAATGCAGAAAAGCATACAAAAATAATTTTAAGGACACATTTGCTTTCTGTTTTAAAATGGAATATCTCTCAAACAGTGATAATGTTATAAATGGCAGATGCACTACTTCTTTACATGTGTGTGAAGAGGTGTGCGCTGAGACGCCTCTCCACACACCTCTCATTTACAGTGAGAAAATGTGATACTTCCCTTGAGTCCAACAGCACGGGATTATTATAACAAATCAGGCTGTGTCTGTAGAGTAGAGGCTGACTTGTGAACAAGTGAAGAGTACAATAGCTCACAGTGACAACAGTTTAAAACTATTAGAGAAGTAGTTCCGTCATTTATATTGCCTAGCAACTGGCTTTTCATAGCAACAGTAGTCAGTGATCTTATACTATGGCTTTCCATAATCTCAAAGTTTCTAAAACAACAATCTATTACTTTAATAAAAAGATACTCAACATATAAAAGAGATTATGTATCGTGTAAAAGTAGATTTGAAAAAAAATTATATGGGAATTCCATTGCTTGTAACATTTAACTAATTGCAAATTACATATGTATTCCTGTTGGCTAATTTTTCATCTCTTTCCCATTACTCCTTTTGTTATACTATTTCTATTTTGAATAAGTACTTCAAAATTATTGATTTTTCAGAAATGTGTTTGTAAGTATGTGTGTGTGTGTGTGTGTGTGTTGCATGCACATGATTAAGCAAGCAAGCATGCCACACTCCCATATGCCACGTTCCCATGTGAAGAGGCCAAACAGGATCATTCCTCTCTCTCTGTTGCTTTGAACTGGCATCTCTCACTGAGCCCATAGCTTGCCACTCTGGGCTTAGCTGACTGTTTAGAGAACTGTTGGGCCCAGGTTGCCTCCAGCGCCCAGTGCTGGGACTGTGGGCATGCACAGTCATGCCTCGATGTTTTATACAGGTGTTGGGGATTCAAACACAGATTCCCCCTGCTCTGTTTTGTGTCATATATTAAGTTTTTTGTATGCATACTTTTTATTTTATTGAGATCGAATTTCACTATATAGCCATGGCTGGCCTGGAACAAACAGATCTACCTACCTCTGCCTCTTTGAGTGCTGATACTAAAGGCGTATGCCCCTATCATAAGCATTCTTTTTTGTTGTTGTTCTACATAGCTATATGACTTAAATTATTCCTATTTATTCAAACAACTGCTAAGTCTCTCAGTAACCATTTATTCTAACTTTTAATTCAGTATAGTTTGTAAAATCTGCTTTACTTTTAAATTAAATGGACCAAAAGCAGGATAATGCCACTTAATCCAAGAACCAGAGATCAGAAAGCATTTTAATGCACTATGCTATTTGGCGAACATGCCAAAGACATGTTGTCAGGTATATTTTAAATAATCTTTTAAAAATAAAAGATTATTTCAAATTAGAATTGTTTTGCAGATAGGCTCAGAAGCCAAATAATCTATCCTGGAAGAAGTTTAAACCTAAAAATATCTACTACAGAATTACTTTCTATATCATCAAGTAAAGCATTTAACTTTCCATAAATAATATGAAAACAATTCCTGTGGGTAACTGCTTCTCCCTTAGACTGAAGACGGACAGCTGATTGTTGAAGGGATGCTGGATATTTTCTGGGGAGTGAAAAGGCCGATACAGCTAAAGATACAGGATGAGAAGCAACTCTCTTCTATTGATCTGTTGAACTCACCAGAAACCTTTACCAGCAAAGGGTAAGCTATCTTCCCGTGTTATTCTTTGGATGGCCTCAGCATCTGTGTTTGCTGTGTGTGATCTTAGCGTAGGCTGCCTATGGCTGTGCATAGATGCTTAGAGCAATGTCACACCATTGCCATCATCTCCGTCACTTAGGTGTTTGGAAACCGTGTCTCTGGGGGTTAGGTGAATTTGTGCAGGATCCCATCCCTCCTTACCACTTGGTAGGACCAAAGGGACCTCTGTTCCATGGTTCTCCAGACCCTGTGCTTGGAGACCTGTCTGCCCCAGTGCTTCTCCCAGGAGACTGCATCTGGTCACCGGACGAGACAAGATAGAAAGGCAAGAAGATTTGGCTAGTCCCCACCTGACCTCCAAAAGTGGGGAAGAAAACTTAAATTTGTCCACTCCTTGGAACAAAGGAGCCTTCTTGTTTTCTGGAGAGAGGACTGAATTATGCTCAAGACAAGCGGAGCCGCTTAGCAGATCACAGCAATGTGCAGCTGAAGCTCGCTGCACAGAACAGCCCGAATAGATGGAGGCCACTGCACCTTGCATGTTTGATTTGGGTGGGGTTTGTCATTACCCTTTTAATTTTTTAAATTAATAATTATTCCAAAGAATAGTCATAACAGGGCTTGCTGCCTTTCTTCTGCATCTTTCATCCTCACCTCCTTTCTGACACACCCGGAGCCATGACAATTCTCTTCACATGTCTCATCTTTCTATCCATTACTGGAAGAGAAGAAAATGGAGAGGCAAGCTGCCAGGATGATGTGTTTCTGTGGACTGATCTTTGGCCACAATTAGGGAAAAGTAGGTACTGCCTTGTCCCGCCATGATTTTTACCTTTCCAACATTTCTCAAATATCATTCTTGGACAGGGCTGAACATTTTGCAATGCCCTAAACAGTTCATGCCATTTCTAATTTTCTAGTCAGCCTGCCTCGAAACCAGCCTACTTATCAACAGTTAATTGTCTGACTCACCTCTAGCAAATTCACCGCACTTTCCTGAAAGCCCTCCATGATCCTCCTCTCTACATTGAGCCCAATGACAACTTTTTTCTTTGTTTTTTTTTTTCTTTTTTATCTCCAGGACATACAGTTTATTGACTTTTACACAACTTGTCCCCCATCTAAAGTGTGAATTTCTAGGTAGCATGGGACACATCTTGAATTGCCTTTGCATCCCACTGCCCAGCACAAAGAAAAAGAAAGAAGGAGAGAGGGGGAGAGGGAGAGATAGAGGGATGAAGGAAGAGAAAAAGGGATAGAGAAATATGATAGATGGAGAAAGGCAGTGTGAGTGAGGGTAATAAGATCAAATGAAATCCTCAGAAACCTGTGAATAAATTACACCCGCTGTGTGTGACGACCCCCTCACCCCCCCCCGCCTCTTCTCACTAATCTCCTAACCAACCTAATGGCTGCTGCTGGGCACAGGACATGGTACTTATGAGCACAAATGGAGCCACAACCTCAGGCATCCAAGAAGCCTAGCACACCAAAGGTACAAGACAATTGACAAGGCTGATCACTCCAAAGACAGAAGCAGCATTTAAAAGTGATGAGCCTTGCTTTAAAAAAAAAAACTATACAGGTTATGAACTTGGAAAATTAGTGATCATGCTTCACATCTGTCTAAGAACTCACGGCAAATTTCTTTGCAGAGCCGACTCCATTTACTATATTGTAATTCATTTTGCTTCATTAAAACTATATAAGCATGAGGTATTAAGGCGATACGTCGAGGAGGTAGAAGGCACTTATGCTGTTATGTTAGGTCATTATTATTTTAATAGCTATTCAAAGATATGCTTTAATTTCTCAAATTCAAAATACTAGTTTTAAATTAAAAATATGGAAATTGTGGGGTGAGTTTTAGGAGCCAGGGCTTGGGGACATGGTGATATTATGTTCTTTTCTATGTCGTAGCAGACTATAAACTGTCACCTTCACACTGCCTCCTCGGCAGAGTCCATTGTCACCGAGAACATTGCTGGTACACTAGTAACTCTTCTCTTCACCGTGGCCAACCATGACAGAAACAGCATTCGGGGGGGGGGGGGTACTTTGGCTCACAGTTTCCAACCTCTCCTTCATGGTAGGAGAGGCATGCTAACTGAAGGGACTTCTTCCATAGCAGAGGGAGCTTGAGCCATTGCATGCTCATATCAGGAAGCAGGGAGCTCTGATCAAGCATCCTTTGATTGAGATTGATTAGTCAAGAGGACCTGGTGCAATCAGCTTTATACAGTCATGAAGGCACAACACAGACAGAACGGCTTTCCCTGTCCCCTGACTAAGATGGTGCGTCAGTACCCTAGGCATTGTTCTCTGCTTCAGTTCAGCCTTAGATGCCCTCCCTTGATCACCTTCCTCCGGGTGGCTCATTTAAATTCTGGGTCTTAATTGAACTGTGTAAAGAATTTAACCGTCCCCTCATCTCAAAACTCCTCTCATCCTCCTTTGCCTGCGCTGGGCATCGGTGGACAGAAGTTAACACCCCTGCTCAGATCCTCTTTCTCCCGTGGGTTAGTAGACACGGAAGGACATGGACAGTGTGTGCTTAGATGCAGGAAGGACTCCAGTTGAGTGCCTTTCCATACCTTCGGGAAAATCGTCACTCTTGTCATGTTAGTTTGTTTTCATCATTAGAAATGAGTCATGCTGAGGAAGTACTAGCCAAATGAGGACGGTGGAGACTTAAAAATAAGTCAGTTTATGTGAGCACTGACCAGTTCTGCGTGTATGGAAATGGCTCTGTAGGAGGGACTTAGTTTTCTCGGACCTGGGCCAAATGTTTTCTTACAGAAATTGTGTGTTCAAAACAAAACAAAACAACAAACAAACAAACAAAACAGACAAGAGCAGCCTCAGTAGGGTTATTTTTGCTTTCACTGGTTTTCATTTTTATTTTGACATCTTTCTAAAGTCAGTGTTGGCACATTTTAGACTTGCCATGGCAGAATGAAACAAAGAGCAAGAGGTGAACAGGTACATATTTGATTTGCATCAATAATGGGCTTTTTATGTTTTATATATAGGGAAGTGGCTGCATTCCATTTGCCTATCAAATTTCTAACTTCATTTTATTTTACAACTCATTATCACCCCTGTCATTTAGATTTGCTCGTGGTACACTTCCTGGTGTTTGGACAGAGCAACATAACTGTTCCATGTTTGGACATGTCCAGGTGTTTGGCATTAAAGTTTTAACCAGCTCTTGCTTGAAAAGTATGGGCAACCACCTTAAAGCTTAGTCATGTGCACGGTGTATGGAATGGTTCTTGAATTACACCATCCCAAACTATAAAGTAGTTGTTTTTAAACCTCTGCAATGAGCGATATGAAGGAAGGAGGCAAAAATGAATATATTTTTTTTGTAATTGCAGAGTAGTATTCCATTGTATAAATATACCACACTCTTTGTATCCATTCCTCCTAGACCCCTGCACAGATGTAGCCCATTGGCTGCTCAGTCTCCAAGTGGGTTCCCTAGTAAGGGGAACAGAGGCTGTCTCTGATATGAACTCAGTGGCTGGCTCTTTGATCACCTTCCCCTGGTGGGTGCAGCCTTACCAGGCCACAGAGGAAGACAATGCAGCCAGTTTTGATGAGACCAGATAGGCTAGGATCAGAGGGAAGGGGAGGAAGATATCCCCTATCAGTGGACTTGGGGAGGGGCAGGGGAGGAGAAGAGGGAGGGATGGTGGGACTGGGAGGAGATGAGGGAGAGGGCTGCAGTGGGGATACAAAGTGAATAAATTGTAATAAATATATATATATAAACATAAAATTAAATTTTGAAAAATGAATATATTGAGCCATGTTCCAGCCCCTGGGTTTACTGCACTTCAGGAAGCTAAGGAAACTGACAACTGATGGGCTGGCTGTCACATTTGCCAGAGTCGCCAAGCAGCTGTGGTGATCATAAATAGCCGTTATTTGTAGGACTGCTGGTCCTCTGTAGGAAACAGCATCTCGTTGCTTTGCCTTTTAGGTTTAGCTTCTCGATGGTACCTAGTTCCCATTGCCACCCCTCTTCTAATAGTGATTAAAGTTTTTATTTCTACCATGCTGTAAATTAGGGAAAATGTTCAATACTACATGTCACATTGCTAGAAAGTGAGTAGAGACCTGCACTGCTAGTACATAGAGCTCCTCCAGCTAGTAGAGTTTGCTCAAAAATTTATTCACAAATATTTTAAGAACATATTATCTACTTCTTATGGCTGTTGTGAATCAAACAAAACGAGAGTTACAAGAAGACTTCAAGGGAATTCCAAGATCAAGAAGGAAGCAATAGCCTTGCTTTGCCACTGCCTTCTGTTAGTGTGTATAAGATGGCTTCCATCGTGTGCTGGTTGTTGTCTGTCGGTGAGATAAAGTGCCATGACCAAAGCAACCCAAGAAAGAAATATTTGTTTTGGCTTTTGGTTCCAGAGGCCCACCATGGCAGGGCAGAAGGCATGGCATGGAGGCAGGAGCAGGAAGCTGGTGAGCACATTGTCACACATACACAGGGAGCAGAGAGAAGGAGACAGACAGACAGACAGACAGAGACAGAGAGGCAGAGAGATAGATAGAGAGCAGGAGGCAGCATAAGTTAACAAGTGCTCAAAGCTCATCCAATGACGTATTTCCTCCAGCAAGACTCATCTTCCTGAATTTGCCGTAATTTCTCCAAGCAAATGGAGGACCAAGTCTTCAAATACATGAGCCTTTTGGGACCATTATCATTCAAACCCCTGTCATGGACATTTAGGTAGAGTTAAGGTCCAGATAGCCTCGGTGTAAATACTTAGGGTTCATAATATAAAGGATTTGATGAAAGAGGCTCAAACCAGGACAAAATAATTACCACAAATAATAGGATCCATTTGCCTGGAGACTTCCAGGAATGCATTGGACCGAAAGTTGTGCCTGATTCATCATGAAAAGAGTTCAGGTGGTCATGATCACGGTGATGATGGTGATGATGATGGTGGTGGTAATGGTGATGATGATGGTGATGCCATTGAAGATGAAATTATTCTGATAATATTTTAGATATATACTGAGTGCTTAGCTATATTCAGGGAAAATTAACACATTAAATCCTGCCAATACACCTATCCTACTACGATTACTCTGATTTTGGAAATGAAGACAGTGAGGGCAAGGGAGAATGTGTAACTAACTTGTCTAAGGCCAGATAAATAAAATCAAAATGAATGGTGGTCATGTTTCATGCATTCTGAACACTTGAACTTTTGCTGGTAACCTTGATAATCTTCTACATGAGGTAATGATTTTCTAGTGAAGAAATTTTTCATACATTTCCATTTTGTAAATTGTATTTTTCAAAGCAGTTCAGGCCTTAAAGATAAGTAGCATATGTTATCATATTAGAGTCACCTATGTAACTATTTTAATGCTCTGGGTACTTTATTCATGAGTGTAAATGGCAATCTTCTATCTAAACCTCCCTAAAACCTGATGAGATATCTGTGTATGAGTAGCTTCTGTTAGTTTCTACCAGCCCCATACCAATATCCATTTTATAGAATCTTCATAATTTTTCATTTCAGTATATAGCTGAATTATTATGTCCCTAAATATACAGAGTTTGTTTAAAAGATATGCTTATCACTCAGGTATGGATATAATCTTTGTAAAGTGATAAACTTGTTTTATAGTTGAGTAATATATCTACCTACAGTACCTCTGTGTTTCTGAGACCCATCATATGGAATCAGTCTCACAGATTTGTTACTCGGCAGGAGGATGACGCGTTGGGGAGAATTTGATGACCTTTATCGGATCACCGAGCTGGACGGGAGCCAAGTTCTGGTGTCTGAAGGAAGGCATTCCCCTGAAGGTCAGTATCAAAGACTTATTACTGTGTTGTATTTTTAAGGACATACCACATGACTGCTAAATGTTTGCCTTCTACACAGCACTACTTGATGAACTCATGTGTATTTGTTTCTTAAGCATCTCAAGGGGCCTGATATCTTACATCACAGGAAAGGGAACTAAGGCCCAAAGTCTGTCTTCCTAGGAAAGGTCTAATAAGCTTGGCATCAGGACAAAACAGAGATTCAGGCTTGGTCCCATCACTTAGAATTGCTGTGTTCATTTGAAAGCTACTCAGCTCACCATGTTTGTATCTTACCTGTCTGAGTCCAGCCTGACAGAAGGATGGATTTTTCCAGCTCTTCCATGCTAAAATTCTGTATAACTTATACCCTCAATAAAGTCGGTCTAAAAGAGTGGAAACACCAATCATGTGATCACGTGAATCCTATGAGACATCGCTCACTAGCAGCATTCGCTGCCTGACCCATCTCACACACCCCATAATAAGTCAGCGTAAGCCAAGCCAAGCAGTGAACCACAGTGCTTTGGAACACCAGGAAACAGCAGTCCCGCTCATTAATAAAAGCATACCGGTGCCCCTACAATGCAAGGAGTTAGGCAGCTTAGAAGATAGGCAGCTGAATGATACGGGCTTGTGATCTTTACTCTTCCCAGACTATTTATCTTATCACAGCACTCTGAAGCCACAAGCAGAGGAGGAGCCAGCATCCCCATTGCTCTATAGGACCATGAGTGAGGCAGCTTTGGTGAGAAAAAGGACAAAGGCTCCAGTGATGTATAGAAAAGACAGACAGAGCCACAGAGCCTCTATCAACGGACACTTCTATAACCATGAGGTGAGCTTCGGTTCCTCTAATGAGGAATGGTGTCCATTGTGCTAACAATACCGTTTACTTCAACTTAGAATTTAAATCAGTCATACCGACAATGGCAGCGGGCGCCTAACACTTACCAATCCTTCCCTGGAGTAACTTGTAAACTGAGTTTAAGCATGGCCTTGTTCACTTCTTTCTCTCTTCGTTAGGTTTGTTTGTTTGTTTTTAAGCACAGATTTAAATTAATTACAATTACATATATAAGACCTGCAAAGGTTCAAGCCAGCTGGGCCATTGTACTGAAATGGGAGGAACTAGATAAGGGCCCCACTCCCAACCAAGTAGCTATTTGCAGTTGATGCCTGCTGGCAGAGGGCAAGCCATTTCCTCCAGTAGAGTGTCACTGGGTATATCAGGAGTAGTTGGCAAACACAAAATGAACCCTTCTTTATTTATGTTTAGTTTTATTTTCATAAATGGGCATTGTTGTTTTGCCTGCGTGCTTGTCTGCCTCTGTGCGTGAGTGTGCCATATCCCCCAGAACTGCAGTTACAGTTGTGAGCTGCTTTGTGGGTGCTGGGAATTGAACCCTGATCCCCTGGAAGACTAACCAATGCTCTTAACCACTGAGCCATCTCTACATCTCTTCATTTTTGTTTCATTTTGGCTTGGTCAGGGCATTTTTTTTTGTCTTGTTGGGTTTTTTGTTGTTTGCTTTGTTATTTCAGAGAGAATAAGAGAGGGAACAGAACAAGAAGTTGAAGATGAGGAAGATCTGGAAGGAGATGGGAGAGGGGAAACCATGATCAAATATATTGTATTAAATTTTTAAAATAAAAATAATTAATTACATCACATTTTGTAGCCTGCCCTTTAGATATTGTATTTTCACACAAAATGTTTGTACAAGTGTGGCTACAGTTGAGATAAAATTTCCATTCTGATATTCTTTTGCTAAGATGTGTAAAATGTATACATGTTTTTCTATAACACTTACAAGACATTCTACTTGTTGAAGGTATGAAATATATCCTTAGTTCTTCCAGATCAACTTATAAAGTCAGAGATGATTTAGCATGTTCAGGGAAATCTAACAAATGTCCAGGACCAGGCAATAGCGCCTATTTGTTCTGAAATTATCAGATTCCCCCATTATTATGTTGTAATTTGGGATCTAGACAAACATAATGATTGTTAGAAAACATTCTGACTTTAGGAAAGGTGGAGAAATATGGGTTTGGATGCTTTCTTCAAACTAAGGCTTTCTAAAGGGTCTTCATTCCTTTTCTGTTATGCTAGAATATTCTGACAAAAGCATCATAAGGGATGTATGCAATTCAAGCATGCATTCAAAGATTTTTCTCATGCCTCATATTCTAGCAAATGCTTGTGTACTCATACATTTTTGAAAATACTTAAAAGTCCTCTGCTGGAGCAAGTGCTCTTAACACTGACACACCTCTCAGCCCCCTAAACACGTGTGTGACATTTATATCATACCATTTGAAATTATTTTATTACTTGTCATAAGAATTAAGTCAGTTACTATTTATGAAGGGCTTAGAATAGTTGTATACAATATTTAGCATTATATTACAAAGTATAATAATAATTATTATACAATAATTGTTATTAAATCTGTGTTTATTTGAGAACTCTGTGACGTCATTAGGAGTAGTATCAACACTTCTCGGAATTACATATTCCTACACTTCAAGTTCAAGACATTGACCACTGTTGATTGACAGAGTCTTAAGGTCTTCTATGGTTTTGTTATTTTTCTTTTAGACATCCATTTTCACCCCAACCTTTGGATCAGAAACTAAGGTCAGAACAAATAGTAACATGAGGACTGAAGAAGTAATAAAGCAACTTCTCCAAAAATTTAAGGTAATTGCTAGTACTGACCTGAGCTATATCATGCATGTAGAGAAACTAATGGAGGCACATAAATGGAACTCTTCTGAAAAAGAGCTGTGGGCTGTGAGCCAGCAACTTATGTTCAGTTCTGGTGGATCTTTTCCTCAGAGCAACTAAAGCCTGGAAATCCACATTATTCCCCCAGGAGCTGAGAAGACTTCACGCTGAAAGTGAGGGCCAAATGGGACACCTGCAAATACTCTGGATCTGAGAACATCATCTGAAACAATTACATTTATTTGTTTCTTTCTATTGACAGATTGAGAATAGCCCTCGGGATTTTGCTCTCTACATTATTTTTGGAACAGGAGGTAAGAAAATTTGCTCACTCCAGCCATGTTGGTTTTCTGTCCATAAGAAAGGCAGAACAGCAGGCCACTTGATTCTGTCAAAAAAGGGGGGGGAAGCAGAATACACAAGAAAGAAGAGACAGGAAAGGGCTCGTTGTAATTGATGATTACAGAGTTTTGGTGTAAGCTAACTACCTACTCTTCCACTGAGCTACACTTCCATCCATGGAGAAATGCTTCTAGAATAACATATATGTTCTCCAGTTCCAGACAGATAACCTAAGGATCAATATCTTCCAAGAGTTTATGATACAAAGGACTTTGCTTGTTTGCCGGACTTTACGTTGTCTGAGTGGAGGTCAGAATTTCAGAAATCCCTCCATGGAGGGCTCTCCAGGAGGAGCTGGGCTGTCTGGTCACCTCTGTACTTACTCCCTTCTCCCTTCCTTGCCCTAGCTCTTTCGTCATCCCTCCATGGCCCTTCTCTCTGACCTTGTTACTTTGCTCTTTCTTCCTTGTCACTGGGGCTGACACATTGTAAGAATCTGAGCTCTCCCTTGGGAGAGAACATGAACAGAACTCTGCGGGGGATATGTTTTCAGTAATGGTTCCCCATCATCATGAAGCAGGAAGCTTAGGAATGTAAAGTGCGGACATGAATGGGGTTGCGAAACCAAGTTAGCTTTAGGCTTAAAGGCCAAGAGAGGGTTCCGCTGTGCTGAGGGGAGGAGCAGAACTGTGAGGGCTTCCTGTGGCTTCGCAGAAGAAATCAGCACACACTGAATGGGAATGAAAATGGGAATAAAGTGAATTCAGAGACGAGAAACAGATTTGATCATTCTGAGAAAAGAAGTGAGGAAAAAATGAATTGAATGACACTGGGCTTCTCTACGTGGGTCATTTTTATTAAAAGGCAATCCCAGATAGGAGATTACTTTGACAAAATATAAGAAGTAGCTTTGTGGTGGGGTTACTCTAACTTTTTAAATGTGAGCTTCTGAGAATGTATCAATTTTCTTTCGTCTCATTTTCATGGCTGAATAGATGAGGCCTGCAGATAAATGACAAGGACTAATCTCATTAATTCCGCATTTATATTTTAGTTCTTGGAATACCCAAGAACTGAATGTGAGGAGGAAACAAAAGGAAGAATTAAGAACAGCTATAACGAACTTGGAAATAGTTATTACATTAACTGAACTTGGAAATAAATGCTGTGTCAATGAATGGATGAACAAATGGAAAATTATAAAGAACGAAGCCATTGTTCCCTCAGTAGGACTACAGCTTTGTCTAAATGACCTAGCTGACACTAAGGTCAAATTATTTGAACTAGTAAGCCAGACCACATATTGAGAGGAAGAAGTTCATTTGTAGTTTATGTAAATTTTTATCTTTTTCCATTTCAAATTATAGTAATCTCTTCTCATCTGAAATATCGCCTTGTGTGGCTACCATTAGCCAGTGTCAGACATAGTACAAGAATATTGATGGACTTTTCCAGACATAGCAATTTATATGCTTTAAAGTGCATACTGTCAAAGTATAGTGATGAACTCTTGCGCTGTCCAGCCATGCCTCTCCCTGGGATGAATCATCCATTTGTCCGTTGTATCCATACTATAGACGCAACCTCCCCTTTAGTCACTTAGCATCAGAGTGAGAAGTGAGGGGCCACAGTGTGTCTGTTTTTTTGTTTGTTTGTTTTGTTTTTGTTGTTGTTTTTGGTAATGTCATCAAGGAAGTATAAAAGTACAGTGCTGATAGTCTTATTAGAATAATTGGTGGGGTTGTTCTATTTTGTTACTAGTGATGTTCTGTCTTACTATGACTAATTTATAAATTAAGCTTTAGTATAGACATGTATTTAAAAAAAACAGATATACAGCACTATATACCACTTACTGCGTCCCGTGGGTAATGGGGCGTGGCCGTCTTTTGTTTCCATTTGCAGAGCAGAGAAAGCTAAAGAAGACAGATGTCCCACTCCTGCAGAGGCTCCTACAAGGCCCTTCCAAAAGCAATGCCCGGATCTTCCTCATGGATAAAGACGCAGAGGAGATCAGCAGTGACGTATGGCCGCCCACGCCTCCCTGAGTTTTCGAATCTCCCTCTGACTCAGCGCTTCTTACATAAGCCCCTCTCTTCTCCTTTTCAGGTGGCTCAGTACATTAATTTTCACTTTTCTTTCTTGGAATCCATCCTTCAAAGATTAGACGAGGAAGAGAAAATGGAGACTGAAAGGATAATGGCCAGGTGAGGCAGGGGTGCGCGCCGGGGGTAGATTCAGGGCGCGCCAGGTGCCCTGTTTCACCCATTCTTCCTTTTTCAGATTCAGTACCGAAAGGGCCTTTATACTGGAGTGTCTCCAGAGGAAGCAGGCAGCGAAGACAGAGACCACGGTCTAGAAGCCCAGCCCTCCTGCCAGCTGGCCCTCCTGGCTGAGCTGGAGAGGACACTGTTGAATGAATGTACGGTCGGCTCCCGGGTTCTGAGACCTGTGACCTCGCAGCTGTGGAAAACCGAATGGCAAACGGCCTCCTTCCTCTGCGCAACGATGAGGTTGGCTGCGGTTCAGAGTTGGACGAAGGCAAGACTGGACCCCCTCTCAGTAACTGAAGGAAGCCTGGGTACCATGCAGTCCAAATACCGTTGATAGCACATTCCGAGGTTGGAGCGGCCTCTGCTGATGTCATGCGGTTGAAACTTGCTTTATCTTTCACTCGTACGAGAACTGAGATATTGGCTGACTCACCAGTGACTGGAAATAAACACTCCCAGTTCTTGATGTCAACAAGAAACATTCTCAAGCCGGCAGGGGTCTCAGTTGATCATGTTTCATAGCTGTGTAAACACTCAAGCGTTTACATAAAGTTTAGAAGTAAATCTATGACCTTGATGGTTTTTAGCTCCATCTGTCCTTTCAGAATAAAATGGTCTGGGACTTTGTAAAGAAACCTAAACTCAGGGCTGGAGAGATGGCTAAGTGTTGAAGAGCACTGTCTACTCTTCCAGAATACCTGGGTTCAGGTCCCAGCACCCACGTGATAGCTCTCAACCCAGGCCCTTCATTTGCTCCCTGCCCTTCTATTCTCCGGATGCCGACTTCCAAGCTGTTTTAAGTGTCTTAAAAATCGGTTGAATTCATTTTCTTTTACCTTTGTAAACAAATACACCGCAGACATAGAATGTCCTGTTACTAGCTAGAAGAGCACGTGACCCCCAGACGCCCAGCTGGTGCTGACGATTGCTGTGGATGAAGCCAAGCTGCTGCAGCTGAGCCGCCGGGCGAGGCATCACAGAGTCCTTGCTGTCCTGTGAGTTACCCTCCAGGTACACATACGGTCTGCTAATCCTGCTGGGGGAAAAAAAAAAATGCTATGGGACTTTATTTGTAAACTCTTATCATAGTGAAGTCTTAATAACCCTTATCATCGTGAAGTCTTAATCAATATTTTTCTGTCTCCAAACTACTCCATTTGGCATCCTAGCTGCTAGCCCTGGAGAAATCTCTGGATGCAAACAGAAAAATCTTTCCTGGAGCCCGAGAAACCGCAATGGTTTTCTAGCGCGCCCTCTGCTGGCAAAGTATGATATTGTGCAGGGCGCAGAGGAAGCTGTAAAAGGGTCCGCTCCACCCACCGCTGTCCCCCGGGTTTTCACAGGGCTGATCTCAAACTGAATTGGGGCCTAGAATATAAAAACTGGCAAATCGGCTCAACAAGATCACTGTTAGCAAAGATCAAACTAGTCAACGGGTAGTGACGATGCGTGCTGCAGCAAATGGGTTTTTTCCCCCTGAATGTGTTAGATACAAGATTAGCCTTGTAAGATGCTGTATAGACATCAGAGATACAGAGGCGTTCTTCAGAGTTATTACACTGACGTTTATTGTGACAAAAAGATGTAAGGAGAGTAAGTGTTCAAAAACAAAAAAAAAATAGTAAAAGGCAAAACATTTGCTCAGAAAAAAATGATTTAAAAGGCAAAAAAAACTTGCTCAAAATGTTACAACCATTAGATTTTTATTTTAATAATCTAGATCTCTTTATGAAGATAAGAATAGAAAACCATATTGTGAAATATCCGTCTCTTAGGTTATATATTTACTTGTGTATTTGCACACGGACACGGATATTGTATATCCACTCACAAACCCAAACCAAGTTATAGAATTATTTGTGATTTGTTTCTCTAGCTCTTGTAAGTGTGTTAAACATTATATAATGATGCATTAATTTTCTGATCAGGAAATGCAAAATATGTTGCATGAACGTTCTCCACAAAAAGTAAGAAGTCCATACAAGAACAGATTCTCACTGGATGCAAAATATTTTTAATTATTCAAATGAGCCATTGACCTTACCTTTGCGATGTTTTAAAAAAAAAAAAAAACCCTTTACTATCTGTCCTCCTTAATCTTTCTGCAGAGCGTCAGGACGTAATGATTGCTGCTTATTTTTCCCTAAAAAACGATTATAAACGTGTGGCATTTGATGCGATGTTAGGTTAGACTGGGATGTGGGCTGACTTGACCCAGACAAGTTAACCACATCGCATGATTATAGCTTCTCCAAGCGGAGAACATTAACCTATCCATGCTTTCAGCAGCTAGAAGTTCTAAGGGACTGAGCAAGGCAGGCGGGAGGGAGAGCGAGGGACTGGAGATTTGATCACGGAGTTGCTGAGGCTCCTTGAATTTGCCACTGGATCACTTCCTTAGGCGCATGAAGGTCTGAGCCTTGGGGGGGGGGGGAAGCCTGTTTGATCGAGAGCTGGGGCTTTCCACAGAAAGCCAGCAGGCTCTCCAGCTGTCTCCTAAGTGGGTCTGGAGCCTTCAAAGGCTGCACTTATCCTAATCGCTTGGGTGCAACTTCCTGAGCCAGAGAACCCGCTAGAGGCACTCCGGGTACCAGGTCTTCAGAAACTGTGAGATCAGAAACTTCAGCTGTGATGAGCCGCTAAATGCTAAAATGGCTTCATAGCCCTAGATGACTTTTGCACTTTCTGAGGCCAAATCTACTTCAGCTGTTTTTGTATGATGAAAAACCATAAACTTTTGTCCAAAATAAAGGGCTTTTCATTGTTTTAGGTGACCCAGATATTTCATTGTCAGTTACATACTAATCATAGTCTGTTGCATGTATCATTGTACTTTTTGTACTTCATATCATGTCTTATACCTAGGAGATGCTCAATAAAATGGATAGACAATTCATGCGTTCATGAATTACCTAAAGTATCCTTACAATCTCTACTGTACGTACGTCTCCTTGCTCACAAGTCTGATCCAGTAGCTGGACACTTTGCTATGTTTATTTTCTTATCTAACATCAACTGCCCCTCAAAAAAAACCCACCACCAAAAATATCTTTTCTGAGCTCAGGCCTCTGAAATGTTCAGTTAGCCGGCATTACAGAGGAATCCAGTTGCAGGCTATGCTGATTGGTTTGAGAAACTGAAATACTAAGCATTCCATTTCCAAGGCAGCTGATGAAGGGGAGAGACAGCAGACCTAACTTCACCATGTTGAAATAAGTACATGGGAAACGCATGATAGGATGTTATTAGCAAGGCAGCCTTTAATCATATTCATTTGTACATTCAATAGCATTTAATACATTAGGTTGACATCAATATTTGATCAACAAAACCTGAGATTTCATATAATTCTTGTACTATTTGCCTTCTGCCTTGCCCAGCTTTATATACGCCAACTTGTGTACAATCTCAAGACATTATTTTTTGAATTCCACTTTATATATGAGGAAAGTAATCCTGGAAAGGCTAGGAGATTGACTAAGGTATTAATCGGAAGGAATGGGTAGGATTGGAACCCATGGCCAGCATGATGGATGTTGAGCATTGAATCCCAGGAGACTAGTTCCAAGACCCTGCTTCAGACATTGCCATCTAATGACGCTAAAGTACTTCCTGTAAAATGGACAATTTGTGTATACCCTCCAGCCTCCCAGATACTCTAAGCCACCTCTAGCTTACTTATAATTAGGACAATGCAAATGATATGCAAATAGCTGTTACACTGTGTTGTTTAGGGAGTAATGACAAGACCACTGGCACAGCAATATTTAACGGTCTCTACTCCAGTCAACTGAATACACAGGAGCAGAAGGGAGATGCCTGTAGCTGCTTCGCTAAACAGTTGTGAGAGCAATGTGACTATCACACGTAAATGCTGGTGCTTTGCATGTAAGAAGTGCTGAGCGGAAGGATCTGTCATATTCAAATCGGCGTACGTCACACACACCCTTCCCCCACTGCAGCCTTCTCGTCCACTAACCCTGATTGCCCGCAGCTACTTTATTTTTGTTTCACGGCTAGCCAAGTGGGGCTGAGGAGATAGCTCAGTGGGTGCAGGGCTTGCCGCAAAAGCATGAGGTCCTGAGTTCAGATCTCCAGAATGCAGGCAAAGCCAGATGCAACCCTGTAATCCCAGTGCTCCTACGGCAAGATGGGAAGTGGAGACAGGAGGACCCCGAGAATCTCGTGGGCAAGCTAGCCCAGTGAACACAGCGGCAAACGAGGTTGGAGGTGATAGCCGACACGAGAGTTTGTGTTTCTGCTGTCACACATCTGTCATGGCAGGCAGATGTGTGCCCACACTCAGACACAAAGACACACACATACACAAGATTCAAAACACAATACAAAAACCACAGCCAAATGGATCACTCACATTCTCTGAATCTCTTTCGCCACGTGTCCAGCTGTTGGAGCCATGCTTGTCTAGTTCTGGGTAAGCCTCTATCCTTCGGTGACCTTTCGTGGTCTCAGTTTTACCAAGTGGTCTCCAACCCCTGTGCACTGTGATTGCCTGCTTCATGTTTGGGATACCGGACATGTGAACTATGCCTTTATTATAATGCTTAAATTGATTGTGTCTTATATCGACAAGTCAGTGGCTTCCCATGTTTATCTCTATTCTGTGTGTGTGCATTACACATAAGAACAAGTCTCTAGAGAGGCCAGAAGAGTGGTCCTCCAAACTAGAGACACAGGCAACAACGATCTGCTAAATGTGGGTGTGGGGAACCGAACTTGGGCCCTCTAAAAGAACTGTATGTGTCCTTAGCGGCTGAGCCATCTCTTCTGTCTCCACCACGGTATTTTGCACCGTGCGTTGAATGCATGGGATGGTCAACAGATGTGAATGTTGCTAACGTATGAAAGCCTATTGATAATTCTAGAGTAGGAAGAAAACAATTAAGATTAAGTAAAGAACATCATGAAAAGCTTTCTGTTTCTTCAATCAAAATAAGTCACTATTTAGTAAGCACTAAACTATTAATGTTTGTTTTATCAGATAAGAGAATCGTAGAAAAATTTAAAAGTCCCAGTTATGAGTCCTGTTATTTTCAGCAGAATTTCCAGAGTAAAGAGCAGGCACCCAAAGATGCCCAAATTAATATAAATGTATCAGGAGCTGTTGCTGGCAATGTCAACAGTGCACACAGACAGGAGGCAGAGGGAGGCAGAACCTATCCACAAAGGTACCCTCATTAGCATATTTCCCTCAGCTCATCAGCAGTCATTCCCGGAAGTGGTACAGCTCCATGTTGGACCCAGAAGTCTTCGTTGTGGGGGACCCAGCAGCCAGTTCCCAGCAAGATGTGGCTGTGAAGAGTTTAAGTTAGCCAGAATATAACTCCATTTTGAAATAAAGATTTTGACTGGGAGCTGAATTCAGGTACCAGGAAATATCACAGAATGTACACCTGGCAGAAAACAAAGTTAACTCTCCTAGCAACAGCCTCCAGGAAATATAACAAAATAAATGCTTCATAGAAAATAGAGACAAACTCCCTGCCAATAATCAATGGGAATCGGTTGAGAATCGGGTGGGAAAATTCTCCCCAATGTTTCAGATATGGTTTAGAAAAATAGCCATCATGATTATATGCCTCAGCCATTGTGATTGTGTGCCTCAGAAAAGGTCACCCCGCCCTGCTAAACTTCACCCAATTATTTAACGCCAAGACTTGTGCCCCCTGCTTGCTGCCACGGAAACCTCCTGCTCCCAGACTTTCCCTTTAAGAATCCTGTTCACTCAGAGCTTAGGGTCCCCCTTCTCTACTGCTGCATCAGTGAGACTTGGGTCCCGAGTTCGATCGCGCTCGTAATAAAGCTCTCTTGCAATTGCATCGAATCGTCTCCTGGTGGTCTCTGAGGGTCCCGTGAACCTGGCATAACAGCTGCATATTCAATTGGCTGGAGGCCTTGAATGTTCTTTTTGCCGCTGCACTTGAGAGGCAGGAGAGCTCTGAGGGGACTCCTCTAGGAGCCATTTGTTAAGGGGAGAGGAAAGACGGTGTGGACTAGCCGGCGTTCTGCTACCCCCCTGAGCCAGTGAGGCCGCGGCAGTCCGTCGACTTGTCATCTTGAGCACTGCTGATCTCACCCGCCGGTGACCCTACAGCAACATGCTCTGGGATGTGTTGGCCTCTAAGAGGTATTGGCACCTCGTGATCAGTTGTTGTCCCTACGGAAAAGAACAGGCATAACTGTGAGAGGGAAGGAGGAGTCAAGACTACTATGGTCCTGGTCCCTAAACAGAAAAGTCTTCAAGCTTCCGTGTTGGATGCGGGAGGTGGCTACATCACGCCCCTTCCCCGGGTGTCAGCCTTCCCCACAGGCCTAGTCACTTAAAGACTCAGTTAACCGCAGTCATTTCTCACTTTCGGGACCTCAGGTCTGAAATATTTTCATCTGTTCTCAAGGCAGGCTTTTTTTTTTTTTTTTGGCTGCACGATAACACACATGTTACAAACAGATGCACTCATGTACGCATGCACCCACATGCACAGATACACGTGGCAAACACGCCCACATATCCGCATACCTGTGCACGCACACCTGAGCTGACTTGCATTCCTAAGCTCCCTGGCGTTCCTGGGAGCATGCTGGCTGTGTTAATTTAGTCCCTCCTCCCGGCCTCAGGCATCATCACAGTCCGTCACTTAGGCAGATCAGCATCTTTACAGACTTGCTTTGACATATGCTTCTGGACTTTAAGAAATCCCTCCTCTTTCAATAACCTGTGAGTTTTTAGGTCAGTTTTCATGGGAAGTTACCACAAAAGCTTAACCCAAGATCTTATTTGATCTTCATGTGTCTGAAGCTACTGGTAACAGAAATCTGCTCCATGTCTATCTTTTCTGACGTCATTTATCCCATAGTTCCTTGGTAAATTGTAACTGTTATAGTGACCAGAAATGTGTAAATACATCTCTGGTTAAAGTAAGGTAGGAGGAAGGCATCCAGGAAAACCGATTTATTTATTCTCTTATGGCATTGTGGACTAAAGTTGGGGCCATGTGCTAAGTGAAGGCTCCATCAGGAAGCTACGTAGCTTCATTGTGAGCCCAGAAAAACAGAAAACAGTCTAGCCCAAAAACCATGAAGACGGTCCAGAATGAAACCAAACCACATGGCCTCACATGAAGCCCACACAAGACTGCTGGAGAAAAAGTAGGCTCGGGCTGGGTGGGCATGCTCACAAACACTTTAACCCCAGGGCTGATATGATGGAGACAAGAGGATTGCTCCGAACTCCAGGCTGGCCTTGGCTACATAGTGAGTTCCAAGCCAGCCTGGGCCATGTGGTAACACTCTTCCAAGAAAGAGGAGGGAGGGAGGAAGAGAGGGAAGGGAAGGAGGAAGGAAGGAAGGAAGGAAGGAAGGAAGGAAGGAAGGAAGGAAGGAAGGAAGGAAGGAAAGAAAGAAAGAAAGAAAGAAAGAAAGAAAGAAAGAAAGAAAGAA